AAATGTATGGCATTCAAACATGATATGGAATTGATTTCAGGGGTGCAAACAGCAAATACAAAGGCATCATGGTTTTTCTTTTAAAAAACAACATAAAGGCAATACATGAATGGACCCCCGATTGCCATAGTTTTTTATTAAACTAGTGCTTTGATAAGCAGGGCTCTGCAGATTGGTATCTTTCTCCTTTTTTTCATAGAGTGAGATGCTAAGACATAATGTGACAATGAAAATAAGAAGAGAAACACCTATCACATCGTATTTCTATCGCAAGCAAGAGAAGAAAACTAATTTGTACGTAGAAAGGAAAAAACTTTGTATTACTGCTAAATACGTACTATTCTTAACCCAACAAAACAAATCTATACTATTTTACATGAAAACAATAGAGAAATATCTACATCTTTGTGAAAATTATAACCTTAAATGGATAATACCTTTTTGGGACTGATTTTTGAGATCTCATTAGTCTCAAATTTTAAATAAAAAGTGCCTCCTTTTGGCAAATACTTGGCAATGCCTTTGGTTCCATTGAAGCAAGTTTGCATTACTATTAGTTATTCGAGGTTAAGTGCTTTTGGTAGCAACTAAACCCTTTCCTAAATGCTTCCTCCTCCTCCTAAATCAGCAAGTTTCCTTACAGCATAATGTGGAGAGGTAATCGTTATGAGTCTCGGTGATTCTATGAACTTGGTTAAAGCTTTGTCTTAGTGGTTGGCACAAAGCTCTGTTGAACACGACAGCTATGTTGAGATCGCCAATGACATGTTTTATTTGATTCTAGACAGCACCTTGCAGATCCGAGATTGCCATCCTCTTGTCACAGAATCGTGACATTTTCCAATGATTCACAGAGCAACGTGTTTGCATGGAGGGGAAGAGCTCTTTTGTAAACATGTGCAGCTTTTTGAATTACAGGCCTCAAATCAGAGATTTCAGGCAGAAACCCTTTGCAATGATGCATTTCCTCAAATACTGCAAGAAAGGGTGAATGGGGACAAACATAGACCTGCTTATTGCCATGCAGTCACTTCACAAGTAAAAACGTAGCTCAGAAACATCGCTGAATGAGCACGTTATCAAAGGTTTGAACCAGGAAGAAGAATGACTACATATTAATTGTTATTTTCCAGTTTTGACTGAAACCACTTAAAAGATACGCTGAAATGCAGTTAGGATGCTCTCCAAATACACATTTCTGCACTTGTGAGCTGTGTTCCTTTGATCACCCTGACCTTCCAGTTAGTGCTCTTTGAGAGTGTGGGCTAATTTTGCGGCCTCCAGGCAGGTGCCAGTGGTCGGGACTGATGTGGTGGTGACGGATGGCGACACGCAGAGGGCTATTTGCGAACCTGCTGTGGAGCCCCGGGTGGCTCTGCTGGTGGACACGGACAGCTATAGTCTCTTGGAAGTTCTTGAAACAGCCCCTGGCTGCCACCCTCCACCTGGCTCATGGCAGGAGCCACCAGATGGGCCCCAGAAACAGCATGAGGGTGTGGTGCAAACCCGGCCAAAGGCTGTTTGTGGACAGTAAAGGGACGGTCCCGGCACTGTTGTGGCTGGTTTCAGCTTGGGAATTGCGAAAGGACTCTGGAGAAAGCTGTGTGGCCTGGAATGATCTGGGGTTGATCTGGGGTTGAGGAAGCCTGAGTCAGCTTTGGTGACAAAATGGGTAACACTCCTGATCCATCATCACTCGGGGTCCACCGACTGCACAGCTTGTGACGGTGCCCTCTACAGGTGGCAGCTTGGGGGGGGGCAATACCACACTGCCTTTGCCACGATTCTGAAATGGCACTTCCATGGCTCCCACAACCGTGCAGTTTGTAAAAAGGAAATTTTAAGTAAGATCTTTTTTTGTGCCATGAAAATATTCATATAAAACAAACACAAATAGTATCTGAGCAAGAAGTTCCATGAATTCAGACTACATCTATGTACAAATAGGTGGCAGATACTATACAGTAGGTTGCACATTTCAGGAAAAACACTAGAACGTGAAAACCACTCACACTGTCCTAAGAGGTTTTCCTAGTACATGCTTTGCTGACATGTACAAGATGACCACATATGCGTGAAGCTTCGGTGTAACTTTCTATTCCTCCCGTCCTTAATGACAAGACCTGATACCTACATACACTAGCAGGGTAAGCTTGATGCTACTGTGTTTCAGGAATATTTAGGAAATAAGACTGGATATGAGATAATGTTTCTAGGAGTTGGTTTTCTGCTTGGCAGCATGCTATTCTGCAGGATGGTACACGACAGCACCACTTCTAAACCACACACATGAACACTTGAAAATCCAACCAGTGCTTGTGCCCTCTGTTTAAAGGGCTGTGAAGCTCACCTCAAACCCGAGACCGTCCTCTTTGGTAAACAAACGCCTTTCCCATTGCGCTTACCATCACGTTCACTGAGTTAGGGCAGAGGGGCTGTGATCACAGAATGTCACCTTTGGTCACGTCACACGCCGCGCACGGTCTGTGTCCTCACTCTAACCTGGAACATTAGCTGAGACCCTGGTGAGCAGCACTGGTGTCACAGAGGCCCAGCTGGCTGCTCCAGCCAGGACGGGGGGCCGGGTGGAATGCCGCGAGTAGGTGGCTAGAACAGTCAGTACTAGAGGCCCCTTTCCTGCCTTTAAAGGAAATGCTGGTTCGTGAAGGTCTGAACACACATGTGAAGTGGGCACTTCAGCAATTTGTAGTCGAGAGACCAGGCTCATGAGATGGCATTCTTTGCAATGCAGTGTGTATTTTTGGAGAGCAACCTTCCTGTGGCATGTTTCAAATCTATTTTAAAAAAGCAATAAGGGGAGCTGAGGGCTAGAGAACAATCTATGTACACAACTTGGGATGATGGAAACAGAAAGTTACTCAACAAGAGCCAGCACCACTAGCTGTTCAGTTGCCTCCTGCTGACTCACTGATATTTGGTGCTAATTTAATAAGCCATTTAAATCTGAATGAAGATGATACTTAGAGTCTAAGTGTGGACCACATAAGCCCCAGACAAAAACCCGGGGCCCAGACTTCCCCTAAGAAAAGTACCTTCCCGGGTCAATAGCCCTGCCCCTGGCCACAGGCCCTCTGAAAGGAACTGACTCGAGATGCACGTCATGCCCAGGGTATTAACTGTCCCATTGGGCTTGGTCAGATGGCGGCGCTGTAGTTAACGGTAACTGGCTCCCACATGTTGGATTACCAATTGCTAAACACTCGAAGTACCTACTGCAGACCACACTGTGCATGACTGCCTCTGCCTGAATCATCCAGAAGCACTTTCCAGTTGGGAGGGCTTTCAACTGAGGGCTCGAGGGTTGTGGGCAACTGAATACTGGGAAAATGGACTTTTCTTACATGTAGTAAAATTTACAAACTGAAATAAAAATATACAGTAAGATCAATTCTTAGGCAAAACACAAACCCAGAAATGATTCACAGACTGTTTCCAAGTAGTGGGTCAGGTTCCCACAGTGACTTGCAAGAGGCAACTTTCACCATTTAACAACCCAGAGAAAAAAACCTGACCATACGTAGGGTTTATACAAGGTGAGGTGGAGAGCACAATGATGTTATGTAATAAAAACCTCCACACTTTGGGGTAGATTTCAGGTGGGATTTTTTAAGTTATTTATATTTTATCATATACTTACTTAAATGACTAGCTTGACTGAAATAATCTTGGAAATCCTGTGATAGTTGGCATTTTAGAAAATTATGAAACTACTCAACAAATCTTTTTTCTATATAAAAAACTACTAATAAAACCTCCAGTTTTTCAATCTTCAGCTTGATGATATAGTGAGAGCTCAGGTACGACATCCAGTTACAAGCCTGTAAAACAGTAACCAGGGATAAGCGACAGAGAAGAGGACGGCCAGGGCTGGGTCCACTGGCCAACCTGGCGACACTGTCTGACCTGTAACCGTTGTAGGAATGTCCTAGGTTGATGACAGACTTCTCCCTTGCCTTCTTTGCAACTCACCAGCTCAGAAATATATTTTATGCTAAAACCTTTTCTTGGTTCTTTGAGATGGGTCTGGTTACCTGAAAGTTAGTCAGCAATTCTTTAAATACGGAAATACATGTGGCTCAAGTACTCCAGAAATATTTGAGTTATTACAAGAAGTAGGACCACTGGGTACCTAATGCCTTACTCCAGTGTAGGCTGTACACATCACAATGTCAGAGCACACGTACAGATGTCTAAGATACACATTAAAATCAACCTAATCACCCCAGAGGGCTGCAAATAGAATTTTCAGTGTTATCAGTACACCTGACTTCTTACAGTGGATTGTTTATGACAGTCTTTTGTAGACACTGTCTGGTTATGGTGGAAGATCTTCCATTTCAATTTAAATTTGGAGATCTAAAGTAAGATTCCCAAAAATCACAAACTAAACTATAACACACAAAAAAATTACATTGGTTTCTGAATGGAACCAAAAAGTCTTCAGTGGGAAGCTGTCACTGAACTGGCTGGTGCTGACCACTGCCCTTGACCCCTGCTGCATCTTGGGCTGGGCTCAGGCCATTTCTAGGAAATACCCTGTGCAGTGGTCTCTCACCTCCCTTCTTTTTGAGTGGAGCCATTTGCCTTTTATTTAGGGTCTCAAAGTGACCACAGAGGTTTAAATGGAGCTGATGACCAGAGGCCCTGGTATCACCGCCCTGCACACATTACTCTGCTTCATGTTTTTATCTAAAGGTACCTTTTATTCTTTACTGAAGTCTGGAGAAATAGATAAGTCTTCTTGGAGTAGTGTTTTTTTCAGAAGGCTCTGTGCTATATTAAATCGTAGACTTCACTGCTGGATGCAATGAAATGTTTTCAAACTTGGTTTCCAGCCTCTGACCATCCCTCCATTCTTTCTGTGACAACATATTATAATTGCAATGATGCAACTGTGGATCTGTCTCTAAAAACTGACCTTCTCCAATCATCTTCATCTTCTTGACTCTCATGGAATCTGGGATGAGAAATCTGTGCTGTTAGTCCCATGGCAGTGGTAGGTCCTGTGGGTCTAGGAAGTCGGCAGAGAACATGCTCGGAGCAGTGGCGCTGAGAGGAGTGAGTCCCGATGACGTGCCGGGCATGGTAATGTCTAACCACTCCATGTTGTCCAGGTTCGAGTCAGAAAGGTCAAGGGACAGGCAGGGAGTACTCGCAGCAAACTGGGCCTCGGAAGTTTCCATGGGTGAGTGTGAGTGGTCCAGCACGCCTGAGTGACTCAGCAGGTCGTTCTGGAGATCCTCTATCAGGGAGAAGGGTTCCCTGTCCTCGCTGCTGCTTTGCAGTGGAGCAATTTCACTGGCTGAAGGCAAAGTGCCATCCAAGAAGGCTTCTAGCTGGTTCTCTAAGCTGGCAGATAAACTGCTCATAGGTTCTAAGGATATGGGTGGTGCCATTTGGACTTGGGGTGGTGGCCGGGACACCACTGTGCTGACTGGCATTGTGGTGATGCTGGCTGTCACTGGTCTCATTTTGGAAATAGGAGATGGTTCTTCTTTTACAGGGAGGGAAATCTCTGCAAAATAATTGAAATAATTAATAATGATTTAGTACCATTTAGATGTTTTTTATTAATTACCAGGGCAATTATTTTGTATTTTTGTGATGACTTATACACAGTCCATCTTAGAGTTAGGAAGAGGATGCTGTTGGTCAGGTACAGGCCTGGATAATAACCTTTAGGATGATGGATATTTTAGTTAAGTAGATAAAACATTTAAGCTGATAACATTCTGATATGCTTTCAATTCTTTTTAGTAAGAGTAAGCATTAAAAGCAGTCTCTACCACCAGGTGGGAACCGATGGTTTTAGATTATTTGATCCTTTTCTTATTCTCAGTCATTCCAGGCTGAAGACAGGCTCCTGTCTTACCCTCTACCTTGAATCTGCTATTTACAGCGGCACACCACCCTTACAGTGAATGTCAAAGTGGGATACCCTGAGTTTGTACAGGCATGAAGTACATCCTTAATATTATGAAAGCTCTAATTATATTCTTTTTTTATCTTTAGAGTTGAACTGTGTGCTGAATTTAGCCATTTACATTCTATATAAAGTCCTTAAAAGATACAATGTTCTCATGTCATTTCTGAGTTAAAGCTAACACATCTTTCCCAAGATGAGGTGGATTACCTTATTTTTCTTTTCTTTGTCTCATTTTCTGAGTTCATATAAAATCTTGAGGATTTGGTAAATGTCTTAATAAGCATTAATTACGTGTTATTCCTTGCCAGATCAAGTAGCAAATTAACCAACCATCTGCTATAGATACCAGTGTTCACTTAGCTACATATATTTGAATAAAATAGCCTTTTCACTTTCTTATGAGTATTTGACTGGTTTCATTTATATGCAGATACACTAGGAAACGTATTTAATAATCGCTCTTACAATTCAGTGATTGGGATGCATAAATAAGTGAGAGAAAGAGCTTACAACCTGATTGCTATATGTGAACTGTACACTGTGGGCACTGCCTGTGTTTTAGGACAGTTAGGCTGCTCTTCATTACCTGTTGTCATCTCTAGAATTGTTTTGAAAGCTGAAAGTGCAATCTAAATAATTAGTTTTACAATCAACTATTTAAATTTCTGTTCTCATTATTACTGGTATCAGTATACAATAAGATAAAATAATATACTCATTGGATACTTTGCCATAAAAAATCATCCCTTTTAGAAAATAACTCAATTGTTATTTTGTTACTGTGACTTTGTCATATTTTAATTTCCAAGTTTAGGCTGTAAACATTATTCTTTTTAATCATTTCCAAAAGTATTTTCACCAGATTTTGCAAAAAGCATTTCATTATTTTTTTTAACCTTAAATTCAGGCCATGGTGTATCTATTTCTTTAATTTCCATAGTTTAGATATACATCATGAGTTTAAAAAGAAAATGCTATTTGCACATGTAGATCCGTAGTCAAATATGAAGAATTTTCTGTGTTTGTCAAACATTACGACAAAATCATTAACCTCAAAATCAAACAGAACCTGCTATGAATGGAGAAATTTTGATCACTTTAAAAACCTGAATAAAACTCTTTCACCAAGGTAATTTGAGAATACTTTAAAAATATTCCAAAATGGCATTTGAAGTTCTGAAATACTGATTTTATACTTATTTTTAAAGATATGTAAGCTGAGGCAGAGAGATCCTTGATTTTTTTTTTTTTTTTGTGGTTAATGTCCCTTATCCCTTTTTAAGATGACAAATTGTAAAAATCTAAGATTTTCAATCATATGTAGAAAGTGCTTGCCTTTGAATTTTAAGAAAGTTACTAGAGCCCAAGCTAGGTAACTAGGTTTTATGAAACTAATGCACAATGAATTTTTATCCCATCACAACAACATTTACGTGGAGTAATTCTGAAGTTTTTCAATGTGGTCTTTAAATCTGGTTCTCCTGAGCTATTTGGAGGTAGTCTATCAACAGGCATACGTCTGTTGCTAAACCTATTAAATTATTGTGTTATAGTGAAACAATGGCTTTTCCTTCATTTTAATCACCTAAATTTAACAGATTTAAAAGAGTAAACTGGGATAGAATTAGAAGAATATGTTTCTCACTACTCGGATACGCTGTGAGCTCTAGAGGAAAACTTCCATAAACCTGTGATAAGACCCCTATGGGGTCTGATGTGACTTTGACCCACCTCCGCTTTTAATGAGGATGTCAAAGAGGTCGTCCATCTGCTGACTGTGTGCATTGGAAATCTACAACAAAGGAGAATATACGTTAGCTTTCTTTCGTACAAACCTGGAAGCATTAGACAACTGGGAGCACTACGGACCTTACAGAACATCTAGCCTAATCTATCATTTGATAATTTTGAAAACGCTGAGGTCACCTGAGACATTACACCATTTTCCCAATGTGTCACAGCTGGTAAGTTGACAGAGTGAGAATGGGGTGAAAAAATTGTAAAAATCTAAGATTTTTTTTTACCCAGCTCAGCCAACTTATACACTTATTTTCTATCACTGGTTGCATTTTGAGAGGCCTCTGACACTTTCTTTTAAAACTGTCTTTATTCATTTGCATTTATGTAAAAATATAAGGTATGTATAAAGGTGCTCGTACTATATTTTTTCAGCTTTATTGAGAGTTACCTGACATACAAAAAACTGCACTTACATAAAGTATACAATTTGATAAGTTTTGACATATGTATACATCGACAAAACTGTCAACACAATCAAGATAATTAATGAACACATCCGTTACCCCTAAAGTTTCCTCATGCTCTTTTGCAATGCTCCTTTCATCCCCAGGCAACCCAGTGATCTGCTTTCCTTGATTACAGATGAATTTACGTTTTCTAGAGTTTTATATAAATGGAGTCATACAGTATGTACTTTCTTTAGCAGGGGGAGGGTAGAGGAGGCTTCTTGCATTCAACATAATAAATTTGAGATTTAACCATGTTGTAGGGTACAGCTGAGGAACAGTTCTTTCCTTTTTATTGCTGGGAAGTATTCCATTGTATGGAAATATCACAGTTTGGATTGTTGGTATTTTTTGGCTATTACAAATAAAGTTGCTGTGAACATTTGTGTACAAGTCTTTGTATAGACACACGCTTTCTTTTATCTTGGGTAAATATTCAGGAATGGGATGCCAGAATCATAGGGCAGGTGTATGTTCAACTTTCTTAAGAGATGGCTGTTTTCCAAAGTGATCATATTGTTTTATATTTCCACAGCAATGGATATTTCCAGTTGTTCTCCATTCTCGTCAACACTTGGTATGGTCAGTCATTTTAATTTTAGAACATCTAACAGGTGAGTAGTGGTATTGCAATGTGGTTTTAATATGCATTTCCCTAATGAGTAATGATGTTGAGCATCTTTTCATGTGCTTACTTGTCATCTGTGTATCTTCTTTGATGAAATATTTCTGTTCCAATCTTCTGCTTACTCCAGAAATTCTCATGCATACCGTTTGCATGGTATATCTTTTTCCAATCACTTACTTTCAACCTGTGTCTTTGTATTTAAAATATGCCTCTTTTAGATGCATGTATTAGTTATCTATTGCTGTATTACAAATTAGTCCAAAAAGACTTAGTGGCTTAAAACACTAAACAGTGATTTTCTCTCACAGTTTCTGAGGGTCAGGAATTTAGGAATGGTTTAGATGGATAGTTCTGGCGTGGGGTCTTATAGGATATGGTAGTCAAGATGCTGGCTGGGCTACAGCCATCTCAAGGCTGGAGAATGTCCTTGTAAAGGTGACTCACTTCATGACTGACAAGGTGGTGGTGGTTGATGGGAGGCCTCAGTTCCTCTTCACATGGGCCTCTGCAGAGCGCTGCTGGACGGTCCACACGGCATGCTCCCCACAGCCAGCAGTCCAAGAGAGCACAAGCGGGGTGGCTTTTATGACCTAGTTTCAGAAGCCACACACCATCTCTTCTGGCAATTCTATATGTTAGAAGCAAGTCACTAAGTTTAGCCCAGGGAGGGATGTCAAAGAATTTGCAGATGTATCTTTTTTTTTTTTTTTTTTTTTGGGGGC